CCCCCCGCCGGGATCCGATTGGCTGGTTGCGCCGGGCCGGCCGCTCCCATTGGTCGGCGCGCAGGAGGGACACGCCCCCCGGTGTCCCGAGGGACGATGGGAGGTGTGGCGGCAGCGCGCGGGGCATCATGGGAGGAGTGGCGGAAGTGCCGCCGGGGGCTCCCAGTAACTCCCAGTAACTCCCAGTGTTCCCAGTGACCCCCAGTAACCCCCCAGTAACTCCCAGTAACTCCCAGTGTTCCCAGTGACCCCCAGTAACCCCCCAGTGCTCCCAGTAACCCCCCAGTGCTCCCAGTAACTCCCAGTGTTCCCAGTGACCCCCAGTAACCCCCCAGTACCTCCCAGTAACTCCAGTGCTCCCAGTAACTCCCAGTGTTCCCAGTGACCCCCAGTAACCCCCCAGTGCTCCCAGTAACCCCCCAGTGCTCCCAGTGACCCCCAGTAACCCCCCAGTGCTCCCAGTAACTCCCAATGCTCCCACTAACTCCCAGTGACTCCCAGTAGCTTCCAGTGACTCCCAGTAGCTCCCAGTGCCCCCCCAGTAATTCCCAGTGCTCCCAGTGACCCCCAGAAGCTCCCGGTGTTCCCAGTAACTCCCAGTAACTCCAGTGCTCCCAGTAAATCCCAGTACCCCCCAGTAACCCCCCAGTGCTCTCAGTAACTCCCAGTGCTCCCAGTAACTACCAGTAGCTCCCAGTGACACCCAGGAAGCCCCAACGCTCCCAGTAACTCCCAGTGCTCCCAGTAACTCCCAGTAACCCCCCAGTGACCCCCAGTAACCCCCCAGTCACCCCCAGTAACCCCCAGTGCTCCCAGTAACTCCCAGTGCCTCCCAGAGCTCCCAGTAAATCTCAGTAACTCCAAGTAACTCCCAGTGCTCCCAGTACCTCCCAGTAGCTCCCAGTGACCCCCAGTAACCCCTCAGTACTCCCAGTAACTCCCAGTGTCCCCCAGTAGCTCCCAGTGCTCCCAGTAGCTCCCAGTACCCCCCAGTAACCCCCCAGTGCTCCCAGTAGCTCCACAGTGCTCCCAGTAACCTCCAGTACCCCCCAGTAACTCCCAGTGCTCCCAGTAACCCCCCAGTGACCCCCTGTAACCCCCAGTGACCCCCAGTAACCCCCAGTGTTCCCAGTAACTCCCAGTGCTCCCCAGTAACTTCCAGTGCTCCCAGTAACTCCCAGTGCTCCCAGTGACCTCCAGTAACCCCCCAGTGCTCCCAGTAACTCCCGGTGCTCCCAGTGACTTCCCAATAGCTCCCAGTAACTCCCAGTGCACCCCAGTAGCTCCCAGTGACTCCCAGTGCACCCCAGTAGCTCCCAGTGACTCCCAGTGCTCCCAGTAACTCCCAGTGCTCCCAGTAACTCCCAGAGCTCCCAGTAGCTTCCAGTGACCACCAGTAGCCCCCCAGTGCTCCCAGTAACTCCCAGTGCTCCCAGTAACTCCCTGTGACTCCCAGTAGCTCCCACTGCCCCCCAGTAGCTCCCAGTGTTCCAGTAACTCCCAGTAGCTTCCAGTGACCCCCAGTAACTCCCAGTGCTCCCAGTAATTCCCAGTACCTCCCAGTGCTCCCCAGTAACTCCCAGTGACCCCCAGAGCTCCCAGTAAATCTCAGTAACTCCCAGTACCTCCCAGTACCTCCCAGTGACCCCCAGTAACCCCCCAGTGCTCCCAGTAACCCCCAGTGCTCCCAGTAACTCCCAGTGCTCCCCAGTAATTCCCAGTGCTCCCAGTAACTCCCAGTGCTCCCAGTAACTACCAGTAGCTCCCAGTGACCCCCAGTAGCTTCCAGTGCCCCCCCAGTAGCTCCCATTGACTCCCAGTAGCTCCCAGTGACCCCCAGTGCCTCCCAGTAGCTCCCAGTGCTGCCCCCAGTAGCTCCCATTGACTCCCAGTAGCTCCCAGTGACCCCCAGTGCCCCCTCCAGTAGCTCCCAGTGACTCCCAGTAGCTCCCAGTGCACCCCAGGAGCTCCCAGTGACTCCCAGTAGCTCCCAGTGATTCCCAGTAGCTCCCAGTGCACCCCAGGAGCTCCCAGTGACTCCCAGTAGCTCCCAGTGCACCCCAGTAGCTCCAAGGCCTCACCAGTATCAAATTTTAGCTAAAAAAACCTAATAAATTCAAATTTTCATTCAAAACCCTCCGATTTTGGTTCAAAACCCATCAAATTTTGATTTAAAACCCTCAAACTCCTCAAATTCGGGTCGACTCCACCCCACCCAACCCCAACCCCGGGGGGATCCCCCCGATTTTGCCGCCGCCCTCCCCCAAAAAAAACCCCAAAACTTTGGAAAACTCCCCGTTTTTATTATTCTCTAGTAAAACGTTGAGGCCCCCCCTCCCCAACGCCGCCCCCGACCCCAAAACCCCCCCCGACCCCAACCCCCCCCCCGCACCCCCCAAACCCCCTCCCGGCTCCTCCTCACGCAAAGGGGGCCCCAAAACGACCCCGTTCCGGGTGTTCCGGAGGCTTTGGGGGGGACCCGGAACCTTCCGGACGCTCCTGACGCGGCTCGTGGGGATTCCGAGACTCTTCCGTTGGGTTTCCGCCATCATTTGATGATTCCAAGACTTTTCCATTGGGTTTCCATCAGTTTTTGTTGGTTTTAAGCCATTTTTTGATGGTTTCAAGACCTTCCCGTTGGGGTTCCACTGGTTTTGGTTGGGTTTGAGCCATTTTTTGTCAAATTCCAGGTGGTTTTTGATGCTTCCAAGACCTTCCCATTGGGTTTCCACCATCATTTGATGATTCCAAGACTTTTCCATTGGGTTTCCGTCACTTTTTGTCGGTTTTAAGCCATTTTTTGAGGGTTTCAAGACCTTCCCATTGGGTTTCCACCACTTTTTGATGGTTTCAAGACCTTCCCGTTGGCTTTTCACCATCATTTGATGCTTCCAAGACTTTTCCATTGGGTTTCCACCATCATTTGATGCTTCCAAGACCTTCCCGTTGGGTTTCCACCAGTTTTGGTTGGGTTTGAGCCATTTTTGGTCAAATTCCAGATGGTTCCAAGACCCTCCCATTGGGTTTCCACCATCCTTTGATGGTTCCAAGACTTTTCCATTGGGTTTCCACCATCATTCGACGCTTCCAAGACTTTTCCGTTGGGTTTCCACCAGTTTTGGTTGGGTTTGAGCCATTTTTTGTCAAATTCCAGATGGTTCCAAGACCTTCCCATTGGGTTTCCATCGTTTGATGCTTCCAAGACTTTTCCATTGGGTTTCCACCATCATTTGATGCTTCCAGGACCTTCCCATTGGGTTTCCATTGTTTGATGCTTCCGAGACTTTTCCGTTGGGTTTCCACCATCCTTTGATGCTTCCAAGACTTTTCCGTTGGGTTTCCATCAGTTTTTGTCGGTTTTAAGCCATTTTTTGAGGGTTTCAAGACCTTCCCATTGGTTTTCCACCACCTTTTGATGGTTTCAAGACCTTCCCGTTGGGTTTCCACCAGTTGATGCTTCCAAGACTTTCCCGTTGGGTTTCCACCATCATTTGATGCTTCCAAGATCTTCCCATTGGGTTTCCATTGTTTGATGCTTCCAAGACTTTTCCATTGGGTTTCCACCATCCTTTGAT